CAACATGAAAAAGCTTTCTCTCCTATGTTTTTTTCTATGAGTTTTATGATTTCAGGTCTGATGTTTAGGCCTTTCATTCATTTCGAATTAATTTTTGTGTGTTGTCTAATATAGAAGTTTAATTTCATCCTTTTGCATGTAAATATCCTGTTTCTTCCGCATCATTTATTGAAGAGACTAACCCTTCCCCGATTGTATATTCTTGTCACTCTTGTCAAAAATTAGTTGGCCATATATGCATGAGTTTATTTCTGAGCTCTCTATTCTGTTCTATTGGTCTAAGTGTCTACTCTCATGTCAGCACAATCATACTGTTTTGATTGCTATTCCTTTGTAATATAGTTTGAAATCAGGAAGTGAGTTGCCTCCAGCTTTGTTTTTATTTTTTTGTTTACAAAAGTGCTTTGGCTAGTTGGTTTATGGTTCTGTAAAAATTTAGGATTTTTCCTACTTCTGTGAAAAATGCCATTGCAATTTTGGTAGCAACTGCATTTAATCTGTAAATTACTTGGGTAGTATAGACATCTTGACAATATTACTTCTTCTAATTCATGAATGAAAAAAGATTTATTTTCATTTATTTGTATCTACTTTAATTTCTTCAATGTTTTATAGTTTTCAAGATACAGATCTTTCACCTTGTTGGTTAAATTTGTGCCTACATATTTTATTTTTTGGATAGTATAAAGGGTATTTTTTAAAAATTTCTTTTTGGAGAGCTAATTATCAGTATATAGAAACACAATTGATTTTTGTATGCTTATTTTGTATCCTGTAACTTTACTGAACTCATTTATTAGCTCTGATGGTTTTTTGATAGAGTAATTGACTTTCGCTCTTATCTTTATTGTTTCCTTCCACTTTTTAATGTTTTGCTTGCGTCTTTTTACTAGATTTTAAGGAGGAAGCCTAGATCATTGATTTTTCAGACTTCTTTTTTTTTAATATATGCATTTAACGCTATATATTTTCTTCTAAGTATTGTTTGAGCTGCCTCCCACAAGTTCTGATATATTATATATTTATCATTACTCAAACAAAATTTTCTCAATTCAGTTTGATTTTTTCTTTGATCCATGGGTTATTTAGAAGTAATAAGGGCTAAGCACAGTGGCTTATGCCTGTAATCCCGGTACTTTGAGAGACCGAGAGAGGGGAATTGCTTGAACTCAGGAGTTTGAGATCAGTCTGGGCAACAAAGTGAAACCCCATCTCTACAGAAAAATTTAAAAAATAACTGGGTGTTGTGGCATGCACCTGTAGTCCCAGCTACATGGGAGGCTGAGGCAAGAAGATTGTTTGCACCCACGAGGTCAAGGCTGCAGTGAGCCCTGTTCATGCCACTGCACTCCAGCTTGGGTGACAGAGTGAGACCTTTTCTCATTAAAAAAAAGGAAGTAATATGTTTTATTTCCAGTAAGTCGAAGATTTGCTTCTTATATTTCTAGTTTAATTATCTTCTGCTCAGAGAACTTACTATGAATAATTTTAATCTGTTAAAATGTCTTTATATTTGTTTTAGGACTTAACCTATGGACAATTTTTTAAAAAATGTTTTTATTCTTGAAAAGAATGAAAATTATATCATTGATGGGTGTAGAGTTCTAAATATTTTAATGAGGTCAACCTATTAATTTTGTTGTTTCTACTTTTACATACTTATTAATTTTTTGCCATCATATCCAACTACTGAGATAGAAGTATTACATTTTCTACTATGATTACAGATGTATCTATTTCTTATTTTACTCCATCATTTTTGCTTTACATAGTTTACGTCTTACTTGTTGGGTACCCACAATTTAGATTTTGATCTCATCTTGTGAAGTTACCAGTTATATTTATCATTATGAAATGTTTTTATCTTTAGTAATGCTCTTTAGCTTAATGTCTGATTAACTATTAGATTGAGTAATGGTGTATTTTTTTCAAATATTTTTTTTCAACCATCTTATTTCTGTATTTGAATGTGTTTCTTGTCATCAGCATAAAACTGTGTTTTTAACCTAATCTGTCAGCTTTATTTACTTAATTGGCATGCTTTATTTATTTACTTTTAGTGAAAATACTATAGTTGGTTTTGTACCTACTACTTAAGTTGTTTTCTATGTGACTAACCTGCTTTATATTATTTCTTTCTATGTGACTAACCTGCTTTATATCATTTCTTTCTATGTGACTAACCTGCTTTATATCAATCATTTCTTTCTATGTGACTAACCTGTTTTATATCAATCATTTCTTTCTATGTGACTAGCCTGCTTTATATCATTTCTTCTTCTCTCCTTTTGCCTTGTTTTTCACCAATCACCTTTTTTATTCCATGTTTTCTTTTATTAACTTGTTATTCATTTTCTTTTTTTTAAATTTCTCTTCTGTAAAATTTTATTCTTAGCTTATTGCAGTGTTATGGAAATTACTATTGATGCCACTTTTCCAAGTATTCTAGAACCTTAGGCTATTTACACTCCATTTAATCCTCTCCCACATTTTAATTTTAATTCTCTCTCCATTTTTTTAACTCCATGAAATGTTTCTATCGTTGTTTGGTATACTCAGTATTCATTTATATTTACTCAAACATTTATTTTTTGTTGAGCTTTTCCTTTTTTCCTGCTTATTATGTTTTCATCTGAGCTCATTTTCATGCTGCCTGAACAGCTCTTACATTTTCTGTTTCTTCATTTTAATACAGGTTTGCTGGCAAATAATTCCTCTCAGCTTTTCTTCAGAGGAAAATGTCATTATTTTACCTTCATTATCAAAGAAAGTTTTTGCCAAGCATAGAGTTCTATGTTGGCAGTTACTTTTTCAGCCCATTAATAATGTCAGTACATTGTATACTGGCCTTCATTGTTGCTGTTGAGAAGCCAGCTGTCAGTCTTATTGTTGCTCCTTTAAAGATTATGCTTTTTTCACGTCTGGGTACTTTAAATTTTTGACTTGGTCTTTGGTTGTCATTGATTTTCTTATGACGTCCCTAAATGTAGTTCCTTTTATTTATCTGGTCTAGCTCTTGCATCTATGGGTTGATGTCATTTCTGAATTTTGGAAAAGTCTTAGCTATTATCTTTCCATGTATTATTACTGCTTCATGCTTACCTACTCTGATCTTCCTGCTTCCTTCTTAAAAACAACAACAACAACAACCGTGTGATTACATTGGATTTACCAAATAATCTAGAAAAATTACTGTATCTCAAAACCTGTAACTTACTACATCTGCAAAGTTCCTTTTACTATGTTAGGTAGCATACTCAGAATTTCCAGGAATTAGGAAGTAGATATTTTCATGGGGGGCAATGTTCATTCTACTACAGTCAACCTTCTGGCCCCCAATCAATCATGCTTATCCTGCCTGCCAAATGCATTTACCACACCCCAATATCCCCCAAAGTCTCAACCCACTACAGCAGCAACTCAATTCTAAAACCTCACATAAGAGTTATCAGCCTCGTTTGCATTATCTAAATTAGGTATGGTAAGGCTCAGGTTATAATTCATCCTGGGACAAAATCTCTCTCCATATGTAGACTTGTGAAATTATATATTATTTGCTCTCACATACAATAGTGGGAAAGGCATTTGTATTGACATGAATGTCAATAATAGCCATAAACGTTCTTGTTTAAAAGGGGAGAAAGTAAAAGTGAAAAAGAGTCACTTGTCCAAACAATGTTGACATTGTTTCAGCATAACTCATTGGGTTTCAAGGCCTGGGCTAATTCTCTGTGACTCAAGGTCCCACCTTCTGGGCCCAAAGCACTACTACTGAGTCATACTTCCTCTTTCATCTAAGGTGACACATGTTTGACACTGAGTAGTTTTATCAGTCTGTTTCTTGTCTGTAGAATTTTGGAAATTCAATAACCTTATTTCATTTATTTCCTTTCTCTGTCCTTTTTAGTTCAATCTGGCAGTGTTGTTGCTGATATAACATTCTCAAAACCTTGTGGGTCTCCCATGTTTCTCATGGGAAATCACTTCATTAGACAGGAGGCTCCTTCTCAGTTCTTTCCTAAATAATTCCATCTCTATTTTGGACTCCTACTGAGATGGCTAAGGGGATGTCACACATCTAATCTCTTTAAAGAGCTTTTGTGTGAGTAAATAGTGTGGGTTTTGTCCCTTCCTAGACTCTACCTAAAGGTTGTCCAGCCATTCTCTTGCTTTCTCTACAGAGTACATCTTCTTAACAGCGAATCTCCTAATTTTAGCATCATTTGCAATCAAAGATAGGCTAAGAGTTTCCCAAATAGCTAATATATATGTGGCATTTCAACATACTGTAGTTCTTATCTTTAAAGGGTAATTTCTCCAATCTGATTATCTTTGATATGTGATTTCTCCAATCATAAGTCAACAGGAGCTCTTTCAAGTTGATTACTGTGTTCTTTTGACATAATCTTTAATGACTTTGTTGAATTCTGGTAGAATAAAATATCCCAGGTTCATTCTGTGCATTTATTGCCTTAGATCTAGAAACAGTCATTTCTCAAAGATTCTCTGAATTATTTAATGAGAAATGCTTTTTGAAATCACAGTTTGGGGACTAGGAATGATCATTGCCATTATTTTTGTGCCTTTTCCGAGCTGGAAAACATGCTTTTTGTTTTGTTTTTGTTTTCTTGGGGAGACAGGGTTTTACTCTGTCATCCAGGCTGGAGTGGAGTGGTATGATCATGGCTTACTGCAGCCTTGACCTCCCAGGCTCAGGTGAACCTCCTACCTCAGCCTCCTGAGTCGCTGAGACTACAGGTGTATACCACCATGCCCTGTTATTTTGTTTGTTTGTTTGCACAGATGAGGTTTCACCATGTTGCCCAGGCAACATGTAGTTTTAAAAAGGAAAAAGATAGTATGTTCATGCTAATATTTTCAAATTTTTATTTGGTAATATTTTAAATTTTTAATGTAGTTTGCTACATTAACATAATGCTTACTTGCTTTATCCTATAATTTCCATACATTTAACTTTCATCAGTTTTTTTAAATTTCAGCTTTCATGTCCTTAAGAATGAGATGTTTACAAGACACACACTGTTTCGTCAGTTTGCAGTACTTGCTGACACATCCTTCAATTATATTGTAAGTGCATGTAACATTTAGATGCTATTTGTCTTTTTGAATATACCTGTCTGTTTCTTTCTGTTCTCATTTGAGGTTTATGGAGCCCCTGTCATTAAAGGCTCTAGAGATACTACATGGCTGTCACTGCTAGATGCTGAGGGTGTAAGGCAAAGTGCCTGAACCCAAAGAGCTCAGTCCAGTGTGAGAGGTAAATGTGTAAACAAATTGCTACAGCACAATATGGCTGAGCTATACTATGGACAATTTTGGAAGAGGGGGACTCAGTCTGCCTGGAGCATATCTGTCAGTCTGCCTATTTGTGGCCATGTATGTAATGTTGGGAAATATCACAGTTCAAAGTCTAAGCTTCCAGTCACATCTAAAGGAAAGAAGACAGGAGACTTGTTTCTAGTGCCACACCATTCAGTTCACATTAGAGGTCGTGTAATACATACAGCCCAATTCTATATTATGTTATTTAACCTATTTGACGTACTGTTTTCATTTGGGGGGTTCTAAGTGTTAAGGTAAATGATGCCCAGTGCAGAAATATATCTAGTACATTTCAACTAATAAATAAATCAAAATGAGACAAACTTTGTTGAGCACCTGCTGTGATACTAAATGCTCTAAGGAAAGTCGAGTTTGTGGGGAAGGGCCTAAGAAACATAAAATATATAAATACATGCTCATTTTTTTTTGCTTTGAAAAGCATACAATCTAGAATCATTTTCTTTCTGAAATTTTTTTTCAACATTTGTCACTTAAGACCATTTTCTAAATTTAAATTGCTGCAGGAAGTACACTCCAAGATGACATTAAATTAATTCCTGTTTGTAACCAAGTTAATAATTGATTTCTCTGAAATGTTCCCAAACTGATCCACATAGGTAGGAATATATATCGTGTCTTTTTTCCCCTCTTGGTTTTTCCTCTTCTCATCTGCAGGTTATAATTTTAGTTGGAGTAATTCTCATTTTAGAAATTTAATCAGTTAAGCAAATAAAACACTGGAGGATCCAGGAGAACATGGTGCCACTCAAAATCAAGCTTTGTTATGATTGTTAACTGGTAACATTTTCGGTCCAAATCTGAATTTTCCAGGCTTTATGAAACAGACATCTAAATGTCAAAACTATGTCAATTCAAGCACATGAGTTCATCCAGTATTTTCCTTGACAACAATCTTGACCCTGCCCTCAAGTGGCCAAGCAGTTCACCTTCCTGTGGAGGCGGATGGAGCTTCATCTGGTCTAGAATCCATCCATGTCCCCTATTTCCTGGATTCAAAGTTTATGAATCTCCATCTATATATCCACACAGTATATTGACACATGAGATACTCACCAGAGTGAATACAGATTTTCAAATACTTAAGAACAACTGATGGGGAAGGGGAGAGAAACATTAAGCAAGTGAATGTGTGAGTTTTAGATCCACTAACACTGTCCCTTGGTTCCTTCTCTCTAGTCACTCATCCACCTCACGAATATTTGTTGAGTACACATACCTACCAAGCACCAAACTACATGCTAAGCATAACATAGTGAACAAGACAAAAATGTCTCTTTGTGAAACTGTAAATTCCATTAAGTGATGAACTGGTCCATCTTATAAACCATTGTACTTGCAGAGCTTAGAATAGTGCCTGACCTACAGTGTGGAAAAGATAGGCATTAATAGGGGAACATCGGACTTTAAATTACAAATTTGGATAAATGCTGTGAAAGAAAAAGTTTGCTATTGTGTTACTATTGGGGTATATTTTACATATGGTTAAATGCACAAATATTAAGTGTACCATTTGAAGAGTTTTGCTTTGTAACCATCTCGTAAGTCAAGGCATTGAGCATTTCCATCATCCCTGCAAGATCCTTCATGTCCCTTTGCAGATAATACATTGCCCCCTTCCTCACACCATATAAGCATTGTTCTGGTTTCTATCACTACAGGTTAGTTTTGCCTGTTCTTAAATTTATGTAGATGGACTCATACAGTTTATATTCTCTTATGTCTGGCCCATTTTACACAGCTTTAAGATTTACCCATGTTATTGCAGGTATCCATGGCAGTTGTTCCTTCTTAAGTTCCTTTGTAATGTTGGGTAGTATCCCATGACATGAATAAACCACCATTTGTTTATCCATTTCCCGTTGTTGGACAAATGGGCTCTTTCCAGTTAGGGTTATTATGGAAAAAAAAGCTGCTATAAACATAAACATTCTTTTACAAATCACTTGTGAAAGTATGTTTTAATATCTCTTAGGTAGGACTGAAATGGCAAGGATACAGGAAGTGTGTGTGTTTAACTGTGTAAGAAACCACAAAGACACATGCATGTGTATGTTCATTGTCTCACCATTCACAACAGCAAAGACATGGAATCAACCTAAATGCCCATCAATGATAGACTGGAAAAAGAAAATGTGGCACATATACACCGTGGAATACTTTCCTGTCCTTTGCAGGGGCATGGTTGAAGCTGGAAACCATCATTCTCAGTAAACTGACCAACAGAAAACCAAGCACCACATGTTCTCACTCATAAGTGGGTGTTGAACAATGAGAACACATGGACACAGGGAGGGGAACATCACACACTGGGGTCTGTTGGGGGCAGGAGGGTTAGGGGGGATAGCAGGGGTGGAGGGATTAGGGAGGGATAACATTAGGAGAAATACCTAATGTAGGTGATGGGGGGATGGATGCAGCAAACCACCATGGCGTGTGTATACCTGTATAACAAACCTGCATGACCTGCATGTGTACCCCAGAACTTAAAGCATAGTAATAATAATAATAATAAAGAAAGTCTGGTTCTACTATCTTTTGTTTATGCTAGCAAGTACTCATGATGTATATGCAGATTTTTGACAATGAGCTGCTCACTTTCCTTGGAGCCTTATTCATAAAAGTTCTCTGAGGACTTGGCTAAACAGGAATTTTTCCATAAAAGGTTTAAATGTGCTTCTTTCGGTTGCCATAAGCACCATTATTCTGGAATTAGTTTTTTTAGCTTATGGCTTTACAGACCACCTTGTGAATTCAGCTGGCAAATGGTATGGGCTAGTAATGGTTAGGAATTCACAGGTTTCTTAAAAATGTTCATCAACTAGTGGTCAAACTTGGAAACAGGCATTTTCCTCAAGCTGCTTGGGGAAGCCTCATTTGAGGTCGTATTTGACCTTTACTGTGGTTATAGCTTTTCAGCCCCAGACTTACAGGGGGTGGAAGTGTCTTGTTAAATTCCACACCTTAGGTGGGTCCTGAGTTTTGTCCTCTGCTCCCACACCATAGGAACCTTTGACAACTCATGCATATATTCCAGAAGTTTGGCAGATGCCCTCAAAGTGAATGAGAGCTCCAGAGTGGGTCCTGGGTTTCTATCTTCTCTTAGTCTTGAACCTCAGTATTCCTGCTTGCTTACTTGCTTTGTTTGTTTTTGTTTTTGAGACAAGGTCTTGCTCTTTCACCCAGGCTAGAGTGCAGTGGCATATTCAATGCTCACTGCAACCTCAACTTCCTGGGCTCAAGTCATTCTTCTACCTCAGCCTCTGCAGCCCCCCAAGTAGCTTAGACTATAGGCATGTGCCATTACACCTGGCTAACTTTTGTAGTTTTTGTAGAGATGGGGTTTTGCCATGTTGCCCAGGCTGGTCTCAAACTCCTGGGCTCAAGCGACCCTTCCACCTTGACCTCCCTAAATGCTGGGATTAGATGTGTGAGCCACTGTGCCTGGCCCCTGCCTTTTCATCAGCTTACAGCAACATTGAAGGATATGAGAAATGAAGGCAGGGCACGGTGGCTCACGCCTGTAATCCCAGCATTTTGGGAGGCCGAAGGGGGGCGGATCACAAGGTCAGGAGTTCAAGACCAGCCTGGCCAATATAGTGAAACTCTGTCTCTACTAAAAATACAAAAAATTAACTGGGCATGGTGGCAGACATCTGTAATTCCAGCTACTCAGGAGGCTGATGCAGGAGAATCGCTTGAACCTGGAAGGCAGAGATTGCAGTGAGCCAAGATTGTGCCATTGCACTCCACCCCAGGCAACAGTGTGAGACTTCCTCTCAAAAAAAAAAAAAAAATGAAATGAAATGAAAGTCTTATTTGGATTTAAGTTCCATGTCTGTGTTTTATTCCCAAGTAATCTTTCCATATCACATCCAAAAGTCCTTGGCATTTCATCTCAGCCTGTTCATTTCCAGAGTCTTCTGTCTACATTTCCTTGAATCCATATATTCTTATACTCCATTGTTCCAGCCAAAAGGCTTAAGGAGATTTTCATCTAGATCTCAAATAGATCATTTTTAGACGTATGTGCTTCTTTTAATTTCAGGCAACTGTTTTCCTTAACTGATTTCAGGAAACTGTCTTCTTTAACTTGGGAATCAGGATACCACTGCTGTAGCATCTAGTAACTAGGAGGTGGTAGGGATGATCTTGTGGCTTCCACCAGCTGCAAGTTTCAATTTTGGGGACACTCAAAAGGAAGTAGAGTCAGGAGAGATACCAAGGAAAAGAGTTTTCTTAAATTTTCTTTCAAAGTGGCCCGAAGAAGAAAGAGGCTCTATCCTGTTGGAATAAAGAAAATGATTTTCCCAGCCATATTTGAGCAAATAAGTGACAAGTATAGTTTTCATATCTTGGTCAACTAAAGGCTGGAGAACATTAAAATCCATTTGATTTGATTAACATTTCCTCCTGATATCACAGTACATATCTTTTGTGTCTTTCAGAAAGTAAAACCCTTATTTGTGCAGTCTAAAACAACCTTGATGGGTACAGCCTCTTCAAGTCATGGAACATCTTCAGTAAGTAGCCTATTTTTCTCCATTAAATATTTATTGAGTTGATATTATTTAACTGAAGTAATGAAATGCTTGGTTCGCTCACAGATAGACAGTAAGCATGCGGTTGGAGCCAGTGATCAGGCATTCCCTCAACTTTCACCAAGAGGTAAGAAACTTGATTGTTGGAAAAGAGGTTCACACCAGAATGGCTGCTTAGTCTAGATTAATTTTGCTTTTCCTTTTTACCCTGAGGTATTTGGTATTCTGGCTGAATACCTTACATTTTCAGCCAATTTATAAAATGATTGCACAAATAAACTGAATAAAAGAATACTAATATACACTTCTGACTATTGATCACTGCTAATTGAAAATCAATCTAGGCCAGGTGCAATGTCTCATACCCATAATCCTAGCACTTGGGGAGGCTGAGGGAGGATCACTTGAAACCAGGAGTTTGAGATCAGCCTAGGCAACATATAAGACTCTACCTCTCCAAAAACAAAATTAGCCAGGCATGGTGGCATGCAACTGTAACCTCAGCTACTCAGGAAGCTGAGGGTTTGCTTGAGCCCATGAGCTCAAGGCTGCAGTGAGCCAAGATCATGCCGCTGTACTCCATCCTGGCTGATAGAGTGAAACTGTGTTTAAATTAAAAAAAAAAAAAAATTAGTTATACTTCAAAACCAGAAACTGCCTTCATTAGAATCTCGTTTCTTTTATTTTTCTTTCTTTCTTTCTTTCTTTTTTTAAGACAGAGTCTCGATCTGTCGCCAGGCACCAGGCTAGAGTGCAGTGGTGCAATCTTGGCTCACTACAGCCTCCACCTCCTGGGTTCAAGCAATTCTCCTGCCTCAGCCTCTCAGGTAACTGGGACTACAGGTGCATGCCACCATGCCCAGCTAACTTTTTTTGTATTTTTAGTAGAGATGGGGTTTCACCATGTTGGCCATGATGGTCTCGATCTCTTGACCTCATGATCTGCCTGCCTTAGCCTCCCAAAGTGGTGGGATTACAGACTTGAGCCACCGTGCCTGGCCTCATTTCTTTTTTTAAATTAAACTTCCAACAAACCTGAAGCTCCTGTTAAATTCTTATTTTTTTCCAACTTAATAATTAAAAGAAAAGTAGGCTGGGCCTGCTTACACCTCACACTTGTAGTCCCAGTACTTGGGATACTTGAGTCCGGGAGCTCTAGGCCAGCCTGGGCAACCTGTCTGTTTCAGCCTCCTGAGTAGCGTGTCCATAGGTGCACACCACCATGCCCAGCTGATTTTCCTTTGGTTGGTTGATTGGTTATTTTTTAGAGATGGAGTTTTGACATGTCACCCAGGCTGAAATTATTTTTAAAGCATCTTAATGTACTCACGTTTTATTGTAAACATGTGGATTCATGAATTTAGTTGCCTTGAAGTTTATTTATTTATTTATTTTTGAGATGGAGTTTTGCTGTTGTTACCCAGACTGGAGTGCAATGGCACGATCTCGGCTCACCGCAACCTCCGCCTCCTGGGTTCAGGCAATTCTCCTGCCTCAGTCTCCCGAGTAGCTGGGATTACAGGTGCGCGCCACCATGCCCAGCTAATTTTCGTATTTTTAGTGGAGACGGGGTTTCACCTTGTTGACCAGGATGGTCTCGATCTCTTGACCTCATGATCCGCCTGCCTCGGCCTCCCAAAGTGCTGGGATTATAGGCGTGAGCCACTGCGCCCTGCAAAATTTATTTTTTCAACTTTAGATCCCAGGGGTACATGTGCAGATTTGCTGTGCGGCTGTATCGCAGGATGCCGAGGTTTGGGCTTTGAGGAAACTCATCACCAAGTTAGTGAAAATAGTATGGCATAGGCGGCTTTTCACCCTGGCCTTTCTCCCGCCCTCCTTTTGGAGACCTGGTGTCTGTTATTCCCATCTTTATGTCTCTGTGTACCCAATGTTTAGCTCTTATAAGTAAGAACACGCGATATTTGGTTTTCTGCATCTGTATTCATTCACTTAAGGCCTGCAATTTTATAGGAAGCTTAATTAACCATAGAATTCCATTCCCTAAAAATTCAGTTGAGGATTTTTCATTGAAAATTGACTTTCCCTAGCCAAATAAACCACTTTGCAAAGGTCCATTTGAAGTAACACAAATTTTGATGGCCACATGACGCATAAGGCAGCCCTGCTGAAACAAACACTGTCACTCCCTTTTCCAAACTCTGAAAAATGCAAAATGTAAAGTTATTGCCACTGTCTACTGAAAATCCTCTTAAAATTTATTAGCTCTCTTTTTTGCCTTACTAATAAAATTGAATGTAAATGTGCCTTATGATCCATAATTTTACAGTGTGCTATAAGGTTCATCATTCTGAATACTAATCAGCACTGTAGAGGAGGCATAAGATAAAATGCTCACACCAGATGCATTTGGCCATACCCTGAAGTTTCTTCCTATTCAATCTCAGATACAGCTCTGAAATGTAATGTTCTTCCCTCTGAAGATAGTGTTGGAAAATAATCCAATTAACGAAAGTGTCTTATTAATTGGTTCAAGTTAATCCAAAATTTACTAGAAATAATTTTTTTTTTATTTTTACTGAGTGAAAACAACTAAATGAATGTGTTAGCAAGAAAGCTGAATTACTAATTTTCTAACTTGGGGAGTAAATGAATCTTCTCTTTAAAAAGCAGGATCTTTAGTGAGAATGCCTTGCAGATGGCTTTCATGTTGGACATTTAGAGGGCCAAAATAGCTTTGCATAGTGGCAGTATTATAGCCAATAAGGTTTATCTGAGGTGCAATTCTTGCTAATTAAAGGGTCAAATTAGCCACGATTATTGTTAATCTTCACCAAAAAAGTTATTCCAAGCTCTCAAAGTACTTTACAAGGTTGAGTACCCTCTTCAGACCCCAGGAAAATGTTTAATACATTATGAATGCTTTCAAGCACTAATTCACAAATACCTATTACAGAGGTATTAGGTATTGATATGGTTTGGATTTATGTCCTTGCCCAAATCTCATGTTGAATTGGAGAAGGGGCTTGGTGGGAGGTGACTGGATTATGCGGGCTGTTTTTCCCCTTGCTGTTCTCATGATAGTGAATGAGTTCTCACGAGATCTGATGGTTAAAAACTGTGTGGCACTTCACTCTCTCTCTCTCTCACTCTCTCTCTCTCCTTCCTGCTCCACCATTGCCATCATAAGACATGTGTATTTCCCCTCCCGTCATGATTTTAAGTTTCCTGAAGCCTCCTAGCTATGCTTCCTGTTAGGCCTGTGAAACTGTGAGTCCGTTAAACCTCTTTTCTTCATAAATTAGCCGGTCTCGGGTAGTTCTTTATAGCAGTGCGAGAATGGACTAATACAGGTACATAAAATATAAGCGGTTACTATAACCTATTTGATGAGCGATCCCAAGCCAAACTCTTTAAAGTTACTGTAGTAATATGTTCCATTTTTAAATACATAAATAGAATAATAACAGTAATATGTAAAATATCCTATGGAATCTTATCCTCCCTGTTGCAGAACTCTCGGTGTTGGCATCAAAGATTCAGCTTCTTGGGCTATACTTTCACACCACAAAATACTTTGCAAAGTTATGTATAGCTAGCATTCAGTGGACATAGATAATATTCTCAATTCTTTTCACATTTTTACTTTAATGTTCACAAACACCCTTAGAGGTGGGTACTCTTGCTTTCCCCGGTTTTACAGATAAGACCATTGAATACAGAGAGATTTGTAAACTGCCAGGTTGATATTGCAAATAAGTGGAAGAGCTGGATTCAAATCCAGTGTGGGTTAAGGGTTCGTGCTAATCCCAACTCAATTATTTTCACCTGCCCCAAGAATCATGGCTGACAACATGGAAAATACCCTATTTTCTTTTTTTTTTTTTTCCATTTTTTACTTTGTTTTGTTTTTGTTTTTTATTGCATTTTAGGTTTTGGGGTACATGTGCAGAACATGCAAGATAGTTGCATAGGTACACACATGGCAGTGTGTTTTGCTGCCTTCCTCCCCTTCACTCACATTTGGCATTTCTCCCCAGGCTATCCCTCCCCAGCTCCCCCCCATCCCTCCCCTATTCCCCCCAATAGACCCCAGTGTGTAGTACTCCCTTCCCTGTTCTCATTTTTCATCACCCGCCTATGAGTGAGAATATGCGGTATTTCATTTTCTGTTCTTGTGTCAGTTTGCTGAGAATGATGTTCTCCAGGTTCATCCATGTCCCTACAAACAACACAAACTCATCATTTCTGATTGCTGCATAATATTCCATGGTGTATATGTGCCACATTTTCCCAATCCACTATTTTCAATAAAACACCGTGGGAAAACCCATGTTATAACAGAGAGAGCATGGGCTTTGAGGCTGACAGACTGCTCCCAAGCTCAAGTGACTACTTACTCACTGGTACCTTCATCTCAGTGCTCCCTGCTGTGTAAAACAGACATGGCAACCCCACCTCACAGGTTTCTTATGAGGATGAAGTGAGATCATATATGTGACATGCATAGCTAATCCCTCTCTCCACCTCTCCTCTTGAGCTGTTCATAATATAATCCCAAGATAAAATCTTGCAAATCTACATTTTAATTCATCCATGAGAGCCATGATTCCCTAAACAGTAGGCTAATAAATTAAAACAGCTAATCTCTCCTTTACTGCTTTTTTTTTTTTTCTTGAGATGGGGTATCGCTCTGTCATCCAGGCTGGAGTGCAGTGGTCCAGGCGTAGCTCACTGCAGTCTCAAACTCCTGGGCCCAAGTGATCCTCCTGCCTCAGCCTCCTGAGTAGCTGGAACTACAGGCACCCACCACCACATGAAGCTAATCTCTTTATTTTCTGTAAAGACAGGGTCTCGCTATGTTGCCCAGTGAGGATACTCCTGGGCTCAAGGTATCCTCATCCCCTTTTAAAGTGCTGGTGATTACAGGCATGAGCTACTGTGCCCAGCCTCCTTTGCTGCTTCTTTTTTTTTTTTTTTTTTTTTTTTTTTTTTTTGAGACAGAGTTTCACTCTTGTTACCCAGGCTGGAGTGCAATGGTGCGATCTCGGCTCACCGCAACCTCCGCCTCCTGGGTTCAGGCAATTCTCCTGCCTCAGCCTCCTGAGAAGCTGGGATTACAGGCACGCGCCACCATACCCAGCTGTTTTTTTGTATTTTTAGTAG